TTTTAAAATTTAGGGTTCAGGGTTCAAGTTTTTTTTTTAATTTTAAAAAATTTATGTATTAATTTTAAAAAAATATTTTTTTATCATTTTTTTATGTAACTAATTTTGTTATATTTAGTAATTTTTTAAATTGTATTGTAGTATTATAATTATGATGATAAATTATTTAATTAAAATAAATTAAAAAAAAAAAATTATGTTTCTGTTATTTTAACTAATTTTAATAAGTCTCTCCGAACCCTGAACCCACCTGAACTCGAACCGGGTTCAGAGATTTTTCACTGAACCCAACCCCAAACCCGAACCCATTTTTTTAGAAAGAGTGTTCTCGTCCCTGAATTAAACCCCAATAAATTCTATAAAATTTTTCTATGCCAAAAACAAATGGAAGGATCAATGTCTTCAGAGTTGGGCAGGTACTCCGGAAAAAGAATCTAGATACAGATTCTTTGTGGAAAAATGAATCTTAGACACAGATATTTGTATCTTTTTCAAAATATCAAAAAGATACAAGATAAAAGATATTTGTATCTCTTGACTAATCAGAGTATCTTAAATACAAGATACTTTTAAATTAACATTATCAATTAAATTAGAGTAGTTTACAGTTTTTATTATTTATTTATGAAGAACATAACATACTCATATAATAATGAATATTTACAATTTTTTTTTTTTCTCTTTAGCTTTCACCTTTTCTGGTGGTAAGCTCCTTCAACATCTCTCTCCACTTTATGTTATTAATACAATCTCTTTTATCTAATTTATACTTCTTTATATTGGCTCTAACTTTATGGCCCCATTGAAGTTTTGGCCTTCCTCTTTTACGTTTGCCCATCACTTCCAAACTCTTAACTTTATTTCCTATGTAGTTCATAGGCCTTCTCATTGTGTGCCCATACCACCTAAGTCTGTTTACCATTAACTTAGTCTTAATGGGCACTACCTTTAAACTACTTAGTATTCTTGTACTGCGCACTTTATCCTTTCTTGTTACCCCAGCAATCATCCTCAGCATTCTCATCTTGTAGACTTCTCTCGTCTGATTCTATGGTTGGCCATGTTTCCGAACTATATAGAATAGTTGGTTGTATTATGGAACTGTAAATTTTTCCCTTTAATTTGTGTGGGATTCTTTTATTAAATAGCACTCCAGATAATGATCTCCACTTTAGCCACCCTTGATTAATCTTACTCTTTATCTCTTTTTCTATTGTGCTGTTTGTTTGTATAGTGGAGCCCAAATATTTGCAGCTTTCAATTGCCGATATCTGCCATTCATTTATATCAATACTCTCTGTTTCATCTCCTCCTATCACCATATACTCCGTCTTTTCTCTATTTACTTTTAATCCGTGCGTTTCTAGGATATTTATCCAACTCACTAGTCTTTCTTTCATTTCATCCTTAGATTCGGCAAGTATCACAATATCATCTGCAAATATCATATTCCATGGGACTGTTTGAGGTATAGACTGTGCTAATACATCTATTACTGTAATGAAGAGAAGTGGGCTGAGAGCCGACCCTTGATAAACTCCTTCGGCTATTGTGAAGCCTGCTGAAGTACCTGTTGTGCTACGGACCATTGTTGTATGGCCCATATACATATCCTGTATTATTCTTATATATTTTTCGGGAACATTTTTGTGGCGTAGCGCCCACCAGATAAGTTTTCTTAGGATTCTATCAAATGCCTTTTCTAGATCGAGAAAGACCATGTGTAGCTTTTTGTTCTTTTCCCTGTATTTTTCAAAATATTCTCTCCACCTACTCATTATTTCTTTTTCCTTTATTATCAATTTCCCATCTTTATTTTTGATTACTTTCGGAGCTCCGTTTTTATCCCTAGAGTTCTTTTCTCATTGTTTGGCTAATCTGTATATTTTATTTTGCCCTTCTTTGGTATGTAGATCTTCGTACATGTCATCGTATGCCATATGGCTCTAGCAACCGCCTTTGTAGCTAATCTCTTGGATTTTTTGTATCTTGTCTTGTCATCTGCGTTTTTGGATTTGTACCATATTTTATAAAGGGCTTTTTTCTCCTGTATAGTGGTTTGTACCTCTTCATTCCACCACCATAGTTCTTTGTATGATTTGTTGCCTCCTCTTGTCAAGCCTAGTGTCGATTTGGCAGTGTCTATTAATCTGGATGAAAGGTCAGTCCACATTTTTTCACTGACTTGTGAGGAATCTATTGTTTCAATGTTTGCATTGATTGCAAAGGCATCTGTCTCCAGTTTTATCTTGTTTTGAGTGGATTTATTTGAGATGTGTAAATCCATGACTAGTAGCTTGTGTTGTGCGGCTATATCTTCTCCTGGGATGACTTTGCAGTCTATTACATCTTTTAATCTTCTGCGAGAGATTAGTATGTAATCTATCTGTGTTTTACTTGTACCACTTTCGTATGTTATTAAATGACTATCCTTTTTCCTATAGTAGGTGTTGGTTAAGGCAAGGTCGAAAGCTTGCGCAAATTTCATTATATGCTCTCCTTCATCATTTCTTTCTCCATATCCAAAACCACCATGATGCCTTTTGTAGCTATATCTTGCTTTCCCCACATGCGCATTTAAGTCACCACCAATTATGACTAGGTCATCTTTAGGGATTTCCATTATAGCTTCATCGAGGATAGCTCTAAAATCATCTTTCTCTTCTTCCTTGCAACCCGTTTGAGGAGCATATAATGAAAGGATGTGTAGTATTGATTGACCAATGCAGAGTTTTATCTTCATTAGTCTATCAGAGATCCTGTTGACTTCTACAACTGAGGAGGTTAGATCTTGACTGAGGATATGATGCCGACACCGTTCCTATTACTAACAATTCCATTATAGTACAATTTATACCCATCTCCAATCATTAAAGTCTTCTGACCTTTCCATTTCGTCTTTGTATGCACGCTATATCAACTTTTCTCTTGTTCAACATTGATGCCAATTCTCTCGTCTTACCTTTAAGCGTCCCAATATTCAAACTTGCTAATCTTGTTTTCTTTGCTTTGACCTTTACTTTACTTTTCACAGGATGGAGGTCTACACCCAACGCGTCGCTTGGAGGGAACGCCCTATCTTTCATATTCATATTTCCATTTGTTTTCTTCATTTTGTTTATTGGACAGGTATCCTTAGAACCCGGCTGTCCAGGCCTGTCAGTGACCGGGGTGTCATCTCTAAGCTCCGAAATTTATCATACCATATCTCTTTACACATCAGTCATCGAAGAAAAACTTGAAAGTTTTTATGGTTCTTACCAGGATTGAACCTGCGTCCTTGTTCATACTCGTGTTTCCAAGCTTACATCTTACCCATTATAATTAATAAAATATCTAATGATGTAATTATAATAATCAAGCATTTTAATATATAATAGCCCATTCTAAGCATAGATAGGGAAGGGAGACTAGTATTTTTAATGGAAGTTGTATTAATTTGCAAAAGATTATTTAAAATAGATTCATTATTTTATAAGATAATCAAATTTTTCAAATAATTTACATTAGACCTTTGCCATTTCGGAGTACTTAATATTGTTTCAAAACTAAATAAACTTTCAATTATAGCTGATAAAGGTATTGTAGTAATATATTTATTACAAATTTTCTTAATGGATGGATAATAATTAAGCATTTATAATGTAATTCGACTTCCTTTAATATAATTTAAAACATCCAGTTCAATAACATTTGTTTCACCTATGAAAATAATCATCATTTTCTTTATAGATGTTAAATCTATTTGTTATAGTTTGAGATTGATTATATACCTGATACTACATTTAGGGCTTCTTTTAATAATATATTTCAAAAGTATCTTTTTTATCATCTGACTCAATCGTTCTTAATGTGATATTGATGTCAAAAACGCCTCATTATATTTAAAACATAAGAAAATATTTTCATTTTCTGCCCATTGTGCAGCTTTTAATAAAGGTAAACAATATTGTAAACTTTAATTTTTAAGATAACCTATATCCCTTTTAACAACTCATAAATAATATACTTTACTATATTTAACAAAATTTGTGTTTAAACCTTTATCATTTTTTGTATATAAAGGTTTTACGTCTATCATGTTCATTGTCTTTATTAACTTATTTTTAAAAAATTTCCATATAAAATTTTAAGATTGGGATTTGATTCAAAGGAACTAATTTCCATAATTTAAATTTCATTAACATGAGTGTTAATCATCCTACAAATTAAAAAATATTACATAAAATTGGTAATGATATTCTATTGAGTTACATTAATATAATCTTAACTTATTTCGTTTTGGTGATGTTATTTTTTATCTATCTACCTTAATATAAGTTGGAAATTTTCCAGCTAATTTTGATTGTCATTATATTTAAAATATGGCGAAAAAAAATAAAGAAATAAATATAAGATTCTCGAAGAAAATAAGATATATACTGTGATATGTAAAATTTTAAACATGAATATTAAAAAGAATCTGTATCTGTATCTTTTGTCAAGAAAATGAAAATGAAAAAGATACAAGATTCTTTTCAGAATAAAGGATCTTATATACAGATACTAGTATCTTATTAAAAATGCCAAACTGAGTACAAGATACAAAAGGATCTTGTATCTTAAATACAAGTATTCACGGTACTGCCCAACTCTGAATATCAGTTATTTTTTTTTAATTGTAAAATTTTTGCATTTAAATGTGTATTGTCTAATTTTTATTGAAAGAATTTTAATTAGATTCATCAATTTTTTTTATAATTTTAAGCGGAAAGGGGGTGGACAAAAAGGTATCCCAAGGTCCAAAACCTTAAAAAAGAAGCAATTGATTTATAATCCCCCCCCCATGTTAGAGGGCCCTGAAAAATCACACAATTCTGGACTATAATTTTCGAATTTTATTTATCATATAATTTGAAATCAACAGTAAATTAAATATTTATCTATAACTACATTGATTAAATAATTTGCATTTAAAATTATAACAAACTATGACTTTTCAAGAATCTAATTCAAAAAGATCAAAATATGACAACGACGAAATGACAAAATATTATATTAATCGAGACATCATTAATGATTTGTCCCAAAATTTCACCACCCTTTTTACCAGACTTTACATGGTCAATAGATACCAAATTTTTAGTCACTTTATATTCGTTGGTGTTCTTTGATGAACCATCATCTATTTCATGTTTTAAAATAATAAAATATAATTAAAGGTTTATAATTAATTTTAAACATATATTTAATTTAGAATAAGTGATCCTTAACGAATATTCTAATAAATTATTTTAGATTGTTAAGTGATTCGTTAATATTCGTATTAGAATACAATTTTTAAATGATAACATTATCCTGACCCTTATAGTAGTGCTATACTTACAAAATGTATGAAAGTTTCGAAGTACTTAAAAAATTGATCCATTCATTGGATATCGGTCTATGGTCCTTGGCCGTCACTAAATATATTCAATCTAATAATAATTCAAATTTCTTGGCATTATAGAATTATATTTTTCTATTATTAGTGAAGGAGAACAAAAGATTTAAAAATGTTCGGAATAATATTCGTTAGAACGAATCTCTAATGAATAATATTAGAATGCTAATTATTTATTCGATTAATCTGAATTGATATTCGCAATTAATTTTTGATTAAATAAAATTAAACTCGAGTAATTAATGATAAAACTAAAATATTATATACATTTACTCAATATTTACCGAAAAAAAAAATAACATTTTAGAATTGAATAGCATTATTTAGGAATTATACAATGAATAACTTCTTATAAATTACATAACTCTATCTGATTATTAAATGCTACGTGGAAAATTAAGAAGTTAGTAATATGTTATACTTTTGGTTTTATCGTCCCCGTCATCTTTTAGTATTTCATAAGAGAATTCATCATATTTGATTGCTGAAGCAATCACACTAAAAGCGCAAACTTTCATTCCGCAATGAGCAGCCACTGTGACTTCGGGTAAAGTGCTCATCCCTTGTAAACATTTTTAAATAAAAATTATTATTATAGAATAAATCATTTAATGTAAAAAAATTTTTCCGATCAGAAATTAAAATAGTGTAAATTACGCATTATAAGTATAATTAGCTAAACAAAGACTTCGTCCTAGTTCAGTCTTAAACCGAAACATTTCAATGATAACACAATGTTTACGTCAGAAATGGAGTGATTTACCCCTATAAAGTTGTAATCTTGTTCTATCACAGTTTTGCTGAAATATATATCAGTTAGTTCTAGTTTAGACTCTTTTCTGCGTTCAAGGCGTTATAAAATTTTAACAATATTATTTTTATCTATAAAAAAACTAATAAATTCCAATTCCCCTCTTGACCTCTTCAAAATCTTACAAAAAAACAAAAATAAGATTAAATTTATTTATTTTAAATATTATTAATAATTATATATACAGAGTGTGAAATCGGTCAAATCTAAGAACCATAACTTCATAACTTATAATTCAAAGTTTATATTACATAAAAATATCTTATTCCGCTTCGGTTTAACCCTGACATATAGTAAATATAATATCAAAATTTCTTCGATAATTTAAGGTTTTATTTATCTCGAGATATTTATGTTGAATAGTTTAGAAAATTTTTTAATATTCCAAGACCCACAGTGATTATAAACAATTCAATCAAAAGATATTTTTTTATAACATAAAGTTTAAATAAATTCTGCCCGTGTAAAAGCTGATAACGCAATCAAGAGATCTTTTTATTAAACAAAGTTCTTAGAGTTATTGAGCTTTTTAAATGTTTATTTTGAGGAAAATAATATATATTTTTTATATTTTCCAAAACATGTATAAACCAAATAAGTAATCAAGTATAATGCGCTAAAACGCGATATTATTCTTAATAAATAAAAAGGTTAATTAATTTTATATTAAATTTGACAATAAAAGGATAATATCAGCAAAAATATTAAATATATTTAATTACCAACTAAATCTACGCCCATCTTAAGGCATACCTCCTTCCGCTTTGGCTTGATAAGTAGGTCCAGTGTTCATACAATAAACCCCTTCTCTGTATGGATAATCTAATTTTTTACATACTTTAGCAATTTTCATTCGAAGATCGAAATCATACGCATTGAATAAATGCGGAAATCTAGTTCCCCATCTATGTTATTTTTGGTAGATATATTATCATGGTCATTCATTTAAAGTGTTAAAATTATTTCGATGACAAAATGTAAATTTAAGAATTCTCTGTTATTTATAGAATATTTTTGTAACTTAGTATTTTTTTTACCTTTGTTAATCAGTTTATTATTATAAATCGCAATAATTTTAGCAAATTGCCTATATCGTCGATCATTTAAAAAATAATCATTTAAGATTAACTCAACAAGCTATTTTTTGGGTTAGTTTGTAACCAAGGTGACAGTGTCGTTACTAGATTTATAAGTGAAGTTAGAGCAAATTATTATAAATATTTGCATTATAATTTTTAGAATATAATCAGGTTAAGTAAATGTTTAGTACATATCACTTACAATTTCTATCTGAACCAACTAAAAATAAAATGTTCCTCGTTATATATTTGACATTATAAAATATTACCGGTCATCATTTTCTCCTACCAGAGGATTGTGCCCAGCCAAGCCGACTAAATTAACGTGATCTTTAATAACAATTACGTCGCCCAAATTATAGGATGGATTGACTCCTCCACAACAATTTGTTCGAATAAATATTTAACTCCGAGTAATTTCATAATTCTTACCGGCATTGTAACCTTTTATTTTAATGTATTTTTTACATTTATAATCGTTTCGATGTATTAAATTTTGGTAATTAATCTATTTTTAGACGCTTACCTAAATTTTAGTTAGATGAACTTGGTGCTTATATTTGAATAAAACATAAGTAAATTAACTTGTACCTGAGTACTTAGCTTATTTCTTAGGGAAACACTTGTAAATCGACACGAATTAACCAATTTATAGCCATTACACAACTATACTACATATATTTAATATCTATAATTATTTTAATTTTCCTTTTTTAATCCTTCTTTTAGTCCTAGCTTCGCCAAATTGGTTACAAATTTTTTGGTAGAATTAGTTTTAGCATGTGCACATGATACTTATAAATTAAATACCCAGAAAAACAATATTTTTATTCTCATATTGTTTTAATTTTGGTGGAAAACACGATTCTCTGAAATTTGTTAATGAATGGTTAATCATTTTACTTATGTATATTTTGAATTGGTCACTTCTAGACGGGTATGACTAATGCATTGCTAAACTGCATTGCTAAAATGCATTGCTAAAAAGCAATTAACAAAAATGAACTTTTCAATTAATATTATTATCAAATTTCATCGAATATTTAGTAAGTGGTCGGTTTTGAGCACGGCATTCGATCAATCATGATATTTTCAAAATATTTTTTAGGATAATGCTTAACACCTTAAACCAAAAATAAAGAATTTTCCTTGGTTAACGCCAGCAATGCAATATTTAGTCATTGGGCCTGTTTCAAATCGTTTATCAGTCAAATCATGATATTTTTAAAATATTTCTTGGGATAATGTTTTATTTATAAATTAATAAAACAAAATTGAATATTTTTCAATTAATATTACTACCAAATTGAGTCGATCGAATATTTAATAAGTGGTCGGTTTTGTGCTCGGCATTCGGTCAAATCATAATATTTTCAAAATATTTTTTAGGATAATGCTTACACATTAATGTACACGTATAAATTAAAAATAAAAAATTTTCCATGGATAACGCCAGCAATGCAGTATTTCGGTTTCAAATCGGTTATCGGTCAAATCAAATCACGATATTTTCATTATTTTTTGGGATAATGTTTTACACGTATTTATAGATAAATAAAACAAAATTGAACATTTTTCAATTAATATTACTACCAAATTCGGTCGATCGAATATTTAGTAAGTTGTCGGTTTTGAGCTCGGCATTCGGTCAAATCATAATATTTTCAAAATATTTTTTAGGACAATGCTTACCAAGTATATGTACACGTGAAACCAAAAATAAAGAATTTTCCATGGATAACCCCAGCAATGCAGTATATAGTCATTGGGTTGGTTTCAAATCGCTTATCGGTCAAATCACGATATTTTTGAAATATTTTCTGGGATAATGTTTTACACGTATTTATAGATAAATTACACAAAAATGAACATTTTTCAATTAATATTACTACCAAATACGGTCGTCAAATCATAATATTTTCAAAATATTTTTTAGGATAATGCTTAACACCTAAGTATAGACGTATAAACTAAAAATGAAGGATTTTGATCAATAACGCCAGCAATATGCGCCCTAAAAATTTTCTATTATTTTTCGATTCTAAACCTACTCATTAATTAAATGTCACTTGTATTTACACCCAAATATAAAAAAAACGCTAACCAATTCTCATTCTGGTATCCTAAGATGATATATTTATATTTATGCATTTAACGCCCTTTTATAGATATATTTGTTAAATTTAGCAATTGAAAAATAAAATTTAAGTTGTAATAAGTTAGTAAATATTTTTTTCTCAATATTATTAAGTAAAAATAGTTATTTTAAATTATTTGATATTTAAATTTGATTTATGTTCATTGAAAAATGTAGGTCCGTGAAGTTGGCCCCGCTATTTTTGATTTTCAATGGTTTATCAGTTGGTGTGATTAGTACCCGATTTTTACCGTTTTCAGTTCGATTTGTACCATCACCGTTTTTGAGATATTCAAAGAACAAAGGGAGTCAACTTCACGACAGCCCCCCAACTTTTGAACTTAAAAATAAAAAGTGAATAGGTCGATAGAGAATGATTTGTACCGATTTGTACCGTTTTCAGTTCGATTTGTACTATCACCGTTTTCTAGCTATTGACCGTTGAAAATATGGCGCCAAAAATAAAAAACACTCAACATTTATTTTTTTAAAAATTTTTCTAACGTACAACGGTAGAGAATTTTTTTCTCTTCCTAACGATGCCTCAAATTAAGCTTTATCTTCATTATTTATTTCGGAAATCAAATTTTAAACCTTATATTATAGCGTGAAGTTAGCCCCCCCCCCAATATTCAAAATTTGAGATTTTTCAAATTTTTAAAACGGGATTGATATGTACCCGATTTGTACCGATTTGTACCGTTTCAAACTCGATTTGTACCATCACCGTTTTCTAGCTATTGACCGTTAAAGATATGGCGCCAAAAATAAAAAACATTCAAAATTTATTTTTTTTAAATCTTTTTTAACGTACAACGGTAGAGAATTTATTTCTCTTCCTAATGATGCCTCAAATTAAGCTTTATCTTCATTATTTATTTCGGAAATCAAATTTAAACCCTTATATTATAGCGTGAAGTTAGCCCCCCCCCCCCAATATTCAAAATTTAAGATTTTTCAAATTTTTAAAACGGGATTGATATGTACCCGATTTGTACCGTTTCAAACTCGATTTGTACCATTACCGTTTTCAGCTATTGACCGTTAAAGATATGGTGCCAAAATAAAAAACACTCGCATTTATTTTTAAAAATTTTCTAACGTACAACGGTAGAGAATTTTTCTTTCCTAATGATGCCTCAAATTAAGCTTTATCTTCATTATTTATTTCGGAAATCAAATTTTAAACCTTATATTATAGCGTGAAGTTAGCCCCCCCCCTTCTCTTCCTAATGCCTCAAATTAAGCTTTATCTTCATTATTTATTTCGGAAATCAAATTTTAAACCTTATATTATAGCGTAAAGTTAGCCCCCCCCCCAATATTCAAAATTTGAGATTTTTCAAATTTTTAAAACGGGATTGATATGTACCCGATTTGTACCGATTTGTACCGTTTCAAACTCGATTTGTACCATTACCGTTTTCCAGCTATTGACCGTTAAAGATATGGTGCCAAAAATAAAAAACACTCAACATTTATTTTTTTAAAAAATTTTCTAACGTACAACGGTAGAGAATTTTTTTCTCTTCCTAATGATGCCTCAAATTAAGCTTTATCTTCATTATTTATTTCGGAAATCAAATTTTAAACCTTATATTATAGCGTGAAGTTAGCCCCCCCCCCCCCCTATATTCAAAATTTGAGATTTTTCAAATTTTTAAAACGGGATTGATATGTACCCGATTTGTACCGATTTGTACCGTTTCAAACTCGATTTGTACCATCACCGTTTTCTAGCTATTGACCGTTAAAGATATGGCGCCAAAAATAAAAAACATTCAAAATTTATTTTTTTAAAATCTTTTTTAACGTACAACGGTAGAGAATTTATTTCTCTTCCTAATGATGCCTCAAATTAAGCTTTATCTTCATTATTTATTTCGGAAATCAAATTTAAACCCTTATATTATAGCGTGAAGTTAGCCCCCCCCCCCAATATTCAAAATATGAGATTTTTCAAATTTTTAAAACGGGATTGATTTGTATCCGATTTGTACCGTTTCAAACTCGATTTGTACCATTAACGTTTTCCAGCTATTGACCGTTAAAGAAATGGCGCCAAAAATAAAAAACACTCAACATTTATTTTTAAAAATAACGCACAACGGTAGAGAATTTTTTTCTCTTCCTAATGATGCCTCAAATTAAGCTTTATCTTCATTATTTATTTCGGAAATCAAATTTTAAACCTTATATTATAGCGTGAAGTTAGCCCCCCCCCACCACAATATTCAAAATTTGAGATTTTTCAAATTTTTAAAACGGGATTGATTTCTACCCGATTTGTACCGTTTCAAACTCGATTACTATTACCTTTTTCCAAAAATTTATTATTATTAAAAGAAAAAAAGGCAATATTTCATTAAATTAGCAACTCTTATAAATAATCTAAATTTAAATTTAATAATTTTAGTCCCAAGCCCATTAAAAAATTTTAAAACTCAGGCCCGGCCCAGATCCGCTAGAAAATATGATATTACGCCCATACCTAGCCCATGAAAATATGATATTATAGGCCGGGTATGGGCCTGCGGGCCGCGGGCCTGCCCGGTCCATGAAGATCTCTGATCCTAATACGATATATATATCAGAGACTGCAAAGGTTTGCACCCTGGCCCAGGTTTTATTTATTTCAACACCGGCCCGGCCGGTTTTTAAAAATATGATATTTTTTTAAAATATTTATAAATAATAATGGCTGTTTAAAATATTTGGTTATAAAATATAAGGATCGGCCCGGCTCGGGTATTTTATAAAAAAAATGTTTAGGCCCGGCCCGGGTATCTTAAAATAATTTTTTAGGCCCGACAATGTATCTTAAAAATAATTTTTTAGACCTGCCCCGAAAATATTTAAAAAAATTAAAATCAGATACGGGCTTATGATCGGGCCAGCAGGTCTCTGATATATATATAGAAATGAAAAATAAAACAAAAAAAAACAATGAAAAAATATTTAAAAAGGTAACAAAAAAATATTGAAAAAAAAAAAACGGAAAAAAATACAATACCACACATTTAGGAAACAATAGAAACTTTTTTAAATCTAGCTATTATTTTCATATGATAACAAAAACTTTATTATTTAACATGCAAAAATATTATAATATATTTCGGTAAAAATTGAGTGAGTAAGAATGTTAAATACGATGCAAATTTTTTTAAAAAATAACTATTATTTTTATAACTAAAATTTTATTAATTTTTATTTAAAATAGCAAATATATTTAATTTAATATTTAATTTCTAAATTTTGTTACTCCTTTTTAAATTAAAATATATTGAGTTACAAATCTCATCATGTAATATATATGACAAATTTTTATTATGGAAAATAGGGAAATATTGGAAATTTATGTAAATTTTGTTCAAAAGACATTTCTTCCTCAAGTAGCAGATTAAAGTATATTCTGTCATTTTGGCCAAATATTTTCTATATTTCTTTACATTTTTGTGATTTTGACCAAAATGTTCAATATTCATTCTAGATTTTGTGGCAGCACGATCCAATATAAGCAAGAATTTTAATCCTTAAGAGCAAGTACTTTTAAAAAGCTTGTCGAAGATTAGCCATAAAATCTTTGATGTATTTGCCTTCTAGCATATTAAACGGAATATTTTCTGTATATAGCCAGTATGCAAGATGATCCTTGACATCTGCAATCTGTTTAATACTTATGACATCGGCGAATTTTAATAACTTTTCGTGCAAAATTTATTTGATGATGATAAAGAGGTAAGAAAAGAATTATTGGTTGTATTGAATTTTGTGAACAAGATGGCAAGGGGTCGAAGTGCATGCTTAGGATGTTCAAAGTAAAATACCATCATTTTCTGCTCGAGCATTTATCATCCTACATAATAGAAAATAAAAAATATTTGGCTAATATCACGAAAATGTAAAAAAAAATATTGTTGATAAAAACTTCCAGTTTCTGGGCAAAGATCAACATTTAGACCTATTTTTCATAAAATCATGTAACTAGTAATTTCCATATGATAGTTTATTGGTAAAAATTGTTAGATATAATAAAAGAACTGGGTAAAACCAAGTTGTGATTACCACCAATGCGTCTAACAGACATTATCATTATTATCCCCATATTTTTTTTTATTGGGCATATGCTAATGGCGTGCATTTGCTATGTAAGGATTGGATATAAAATTGATTGAATTCAAGAATAAAAAGTCTGTACCAAAAGTGCAAAACTGGTAAACTATTTTTGGAATTATCATCTACCAAAATGAATTAGAAGATCAACAGAAGTGATGACATGGCAAAATCATTTCTCTAAAAAGTATACACCTATGCCATGGGGAACTGTTTATTTGATTTTCAAATCCCAATGAAATAAAACGCTCATTTCAGTTACTGGATTTGTATTATAAAAATGAACTCAGAGCTATCTACTTGTTGATGCTACCGAAGAATTAACATTTTGAGATAAGAAAATTTTGATCTAAATTTTTTGAAAAAGACGAACCTATGCATACCGACTTGAAAATCTAAGAAATCTTTGCACTATTTTACTAATTCGAACATAAGTGAGACAATAAAATCATTATAGTTAGCAATAATATGCTCTTGATATATCTTCCAGATCTAAAAGAAATTGGTAACAGATTGATAAATATTCAAATAGTAGAGTCAAGACCTTTTATTATAGATATAATTGGAGCAGTAGAAATTTCCTTTGTTTGGGCTAAAATATTACAATGTATGAGCAAATACTGAAATATTTGCTAGCTAAAACTGGAATATTTGCTATCAGCTTATGAGAGGACGTGTTACTCATTGACGTGTCATTCAGTAAAAATATAATGGAGATAGTGTGGCCCATCTTCAAAATATGGCAGTTCTTTTACTAAATATTCCAACATTCAGTTACGAAACAGAGAATCGGGCAAACTTCTAACCGATGACGGAGTTGATAAAGTTTATATAGATTTCAATGAAAGAATTCATGAATACTTGATTGTCTATTATTTGTATTTCAAAAAATATTTATAAAAAAATATTTTCAAAAACGAAAAAAATCTATTCCCCCGAAAAACAGTATTTTTTTATCCCTGCATATATATATAAGGATATCTTCAGAGACCTGGAAAGGTACCATTTTCATGGCCGGTCCAGATTTAAAAAAAAACAAATTTTCTGCCCAGACCTGAATTTTCTAAAAAAAATTCCCCCTCCAACCCACCAGATTTCTTTAAAAACAAATTCGGTCAGGGTATGTAATTTTTTCTACGGCCTTGGTATTTTAAAAAATTAAAATATACCTATTAGGCACTTTACGGATCCTTTTCAAAAAATATGAAATCCATATAATATAACTTTTCAAATGATCTTATATCCCCATTTGTTGTAAAAGGAATGAGTTTGAATTACCACACTTTTAATTCGATTGGTCGATGCTAATTCCATTATTTCCTGTTCCTCTTGTAATTTAGTTTTTTATATAAGCATCAGTCATTGGCGCCCTCTCCCTGCAACATACGTAATAGCCTGAATTTAGGACAGAGAAAAAGAAAGATAAAATGATATTACCTGAAATAAATTTTTCCCTTATATTTTAAATATTGAGTGTATCTTTGTTGCTTTTAATTTGATTGAAAATTACCTAAAATAAAATAATGATTAGTTGACTAATCAATTTGAATAATATTTTACTAGAAATATTTTCTATGGATCGAAAAAATTGAAATAGGAAATATGATAAATGATGAATGTGACATATTGTTCTCATACACAATTTTTAAATATATTTCATTTATTTTTAATTTTTATAGATAATGGCGATTTAAAATATTTGACTCGGCCCGGGTATTTACAAATTTTTATTAAGTCCAGCCCGAGTATTTCTAAAAAATTTTTTATAAGACCCGGGTATATTATAAAACAAAATACGGCCCGGGTATTGATATCTATAACTCACAATGATTGTTCAAAATCCTAAATGTTTTTATTAAAAAAAATAATTTATTTAATTTTATTGATTTTGGCGTAAAAAATAGTTTTTTTTATTTTTTGGCGTAAATGGCGAAAAAAAAATATAGAAAATATAATCGATTTTTTAGATTTTGGTAATAAAAAGTAAATCTAATTTTCTTAATATCTGTTTTACATTTTATAAATTTTGTAGTGTGGTTAAACGGCTCGTTTTGAGCAGATTTTTCTACAGGCTAACTCAATTTTATTCAGAAAAATATTACTCAAACCTGAGATTTTGTTTACAGAAGGTACCAAGGTTTAGGTATTTTTATTAGTTAAATTTCGAAGCCTAGGCAAATACTTTTAGCTAAAAAATGGAGTTAGCCTTTTTTAAAAATAGGCTCACTAAAATTTAGGCATAAAAATACAGGAAATATAAAATTCTAAGAAATATAGAATTTGGAGTAAAAAATAGAGAAATTTTTAAATTTTTCTATTAATTTTGGCAATGTATGTTTTTGTGAGATAATACATAAAAAAGTTTATGAAAATATTTCATAGATATTGTATAACCAAATAAAACTATACTTCATAAAAATGACACCGTCCTACGAAACACACAACCTTATGAGAGCCTATTTTTCCCGCGACTATCATATTTGAATGACCTACAACTAATAAAAATATTTTTAAAGATTTTTTTTTAATTTGGCTAAACCTTTGCTAAATTTAAGACCCTTAATACTCTGGGAAGGGATAGTTACACTGTCTGTTATTCGCGATGTGATGGTATCTAACCCTGTTCCAGTGATAATTCCAACAGTCGGAATAAAATCTGGAGGTAAGCATTTTTTAATTTGATCTGTTATGCCCGATATCTCGTTGTATGCAATGTCTTTATCTACCGTGCACATACAGCTTTAAATGATGGAAAATGAAGAAATAAATAAAAATTTAATTATTTTACTTGGGAATATTAGTTCCATTTTCCATAACCATTTTCAATTTTTAATTACAATTTTATAAATAGTTTAAAAATAATAAATAGAAATGACTTGACAAAAATAAATGTTTCCAAATATTTATTTTTTTGTTTGGGGGGGGGGGGGGGTATAAATCAGTGATCTGCATCGGGCCTAATTTTTCAAGCCCGGCCCTGCCCGAAATTTTTTTAAAAAGTTTTGCCGGTCCGGCCCGAACCCGAAATTTTTTAAAAAGTTTTGCCGGCCCGGCCCGAACCCGAAATTTTTTTAAAAAGTTTTGACAGCCCGGCCCGAACCCGGAATTTATTTTTAAAAAATTTACCGAACCGGCCCGATATTATTTAAATATATAAATTAATTTTTATAATTACTTAAAATAAAAGACATATGTTATATAGCGTTTAATTTCAATAAATTAAATCAAAAATTTTTATTTTACATAAAAAATTCAATATAAAATTGATAAATTTAGATATATTTAATAAAATTTCCAAGGTCCGAACCCGGACCCGGCCCGAACCCGATTATTTTATATAGAATTATCCCCGAGCCCGACCCGAAGCCCGTTCGGACTCGGGCCGGGTACGGGCCGGGCCGAACTTTGCAGATCTCTAGTATAAATAACTTTGATATTTAATATGTTAAATTTGAAGTGCATATAAATATAAAGTGATAATAGTTTCTAATATGTAAATTCATTGTTATTAATAATAATTTCTAGTTCCTGGATTCTACTTACATTTTGGGTAATGATATATTACAAAACAAGGATCAAAATTTATTAAAATGCAATAACACCTTGTACCTTAATACATATTAACGAAATCACGTGGTCGAGTCCGATCTACTATATATCACGGACGGAACCACCTAGTTGGCTTTAGAAAAAAAAGATACTATGAGAACCCAGAAATATCGGATTGTGATACCCTCACGAACTGACTAGGCCACTGACGACTCAAAACTATCAATTTTTTTTACGTAAAGATAAGATTTTATAGCTTTTATTAAGAAATGAATTGAATTCGATCTAATATCTTATAAAACACATTGTTTATACTTGAAAGGATAATTAAATACGTGAGACAAGGCAATATACTTTTTAAAATTTTTAAGTTTTTATTAACTTTTTTTAGAAATTAAAATAATATTTCGTTTGTATATTTTTTTTATAAATTAAAATAATATTTTTTCGAAAAGCATTTTTTTTAATAGAACGGTTCGATTTGAGCCGATTTTAAAAAACTGGAAATTAAGTCATAGATACAAAGAATTGGACACCTATTGACAAAATTTTGGGCAATATTTTTCTGCCATGAGTTAGCCATTATAAAAAATCGGCTAATCGAGTAACACTTATTTTAAGATTATAATTTAATTTGTAGACTATAAAATACTAGAATTCAATTCGGTAGGCGCACAGCCAGGAATTTTCTAAGGGGGGAGGGGGTAATTTTTTTATATTGAAATGCTATTTTTTTGGGGGGGAGGGCATTAAAAATTTATTAGAAATTAGTTGTGGATTAGATCTCGATGTATATTAAAGTCCATTCAATCGATATCATTCATTGATTTGGGACAAAAATTTATTTAAAAGTGGAAGAAAACGGTTATTTTATAGGAATCCTCATTTTAATTTTGGTTTGCCTAAATGAAAGTTAATTGCGAACTTCAAAATCATATAATTTCGCCTCTTGGTTGATATTATCTGTTAATTTCCAAGTTGTGATATAATAAAATTCGCTCTTACTCAGTCAAATCCATGATAAAAATCTGCAACATTTCTAGATCCAAAAATTCGGTAACCGCATCATAGGCTCCATTTTATCGATCATGTTTTTGAAGTTTCTTCACAAGAAGTCTCAGAAATAATTTTAATCCGCAAATATGGTCTATTTGGATATCTGAACATTTCATAAAATCTATAAGTTTTGCCTAATCGTAGTTATTAGTAGAGATAAATTAAATAAAAATTTATTTTGATTGAAAAATTTCTGATATCCATCAATGTTTAAGGTTTAAAAAAAATGAAAGAAAATAAAATTTAAATTTTCGTAAAATAAAAACAAGGAATAAATATTTAAATTAATATTAATTTTTGATAGCAATTCCCAATTCAGTAAAACTTTATATATATTTTTTAATCTTCTATGGGAGGGGGAAAGGGAGGGGGGATTTCTCTCCCTCTCTTTCCTGCTTGGTACGCGCCTTCTAGCCAGGTTCAAGATTTAAAAAAAAATTGAACAAATATAATAAATTAACAGTTATGAAATCATATAGATAAAGCACTTAATATTGATTTACATATTAACCAGTGGCGTCACTAGGGGGGGGGGCGCAGGGGCTCAAGCCCCCTGAAAAATTTGAATAGCCCCCTGAAGCAAAATAAAAATTTTTTTAATGGTTCCTTAATATCCCCTTAAACTAAAAAGAACTTTTTTTGATTGTCCCCTGTTTATTATAATTCTATTAAGTAATATATAGATTTAATTTTATTATTTAAAAATTAATAAGACTATCTAAATTTTATTAGATTAGATTAATACATATAAATTATATTTTCACTATGTCAGCTTGCAATCAAATTCTTTGTTAAAAATAAAATATCAATACCATGAATAATGTTTAAATATCAATTTAGCATTAACAGTTGAAGTTTAATTGATTCTTATTAATTAAATTATTATATAACCCTAATTAAATAAATATAAAGATTTATTAATTGAAAATTAACAAATTTAATATTGTAAGCCGAGTTTAAAATCACTATTTAAATAAAATGACTGCGATTTAAAAATTTAAGCATTAAAGACTTTATGAAAAAAACTAAAGATAAAAGTAGCAATAATCTTGAGGACCAAAGAAGAGGATTCAATAACAAAGCTGGTGATGAACAAAGTATTTTTTATACAGTTTTTAAAATTCAAACTTTGATTTAGTTGAAAGACGATTAATTGTAGTTTTAAAAGATATAAATATTGAAAACAAAAATGTTAAAAGAAAGAAAATAGGTAAATAAATTTATATATAAGTCTGTGTCCAAAATGTTTTGAAAAAATCCTTAAAATTTTCACAAATTAATAACAAAACACTTTGGACATTTAAGTTTTAAAAAATAAAAATTTATTAGTTAATTATCTATTTTAATGGAAGGTTTCTTTTTCACTTGATCATAATTGAAGTTATATGTTTTTCCTATTTCCTCCCAAATTTGCCTAATTTCTATAGAATTTCTATAGAATTTCTATTTAAGTCATTTTTCACCAAAGTATTAAACAATATTGATTTCTTTAGTTTTCAAGTTAAGCAAAAATTGCTTTTTAATAAATTTTCACCTTTCAGGAGTAGGACACTAGAAATGGGAAATTTTTTTAAAATTTTTCTATTATAATCACATAAGGTGATGTCAAAATATTAGCTAAATAAAACATAGTAAATATTTTCTATATAAATAGTCAATATCTTAAAAAATCATACACTATTATTCTTTTTACATTAATAAAGATAATATTGGCTAAATTGTTTACTCAATCATTCTTTCATAATTTCATAATTTGATAATTATATATTTATTTGTTTATCCTAACTTAATAATAAACTATATTTTAATAAAAATGCTAAATAAATTTAGAATAGTTTGCTTATTTATATATATTTTTGAAAAATGGATACTATAATATGGAATATTACTTTTTATATATTATATTTACAAAAATAAATACACTGAAAAGAAATACATTTTAAAATTAATCTTATTTAGATTCATTGAATAATGAAGAAAGTATTGTGAATGACATGATT